GTATATTTTCTATGTTGAATATGTACCACGAAAAGTAACTAATAGATCATTCAAGGTGCAAATTCAAAATGAACATACATACATACAAGTAAAACAGATTACAATTTGCATATTACAGTTTTCTAAAAAATTTCTGCAATTTGTTATTCTTAGTGCACAAAATATAAAAGTTGGTTATTGAGATTTGATTTGAAATTTATTTAATTTACACTAGCCCGTGCAATGAAAAATAATTGCTTGTAATTCCAGAGTACCATTGTAATTTTGTGTCCTCATTAGAACCACAGGGATACAACACAAACGATCATCCAATCGCTTGATGAGCTAATTTGTTCTCTCTGTGGAAATACTCAATGTTTTAGAACACTCTATTATCGATATATTCTTGTTAATTTTTTACTGCGTTAACTAAAGATATTTTACTGCGTGAATTAATATTTGTATGTACATCTGAGGATGGCTCGAATATGCAGCCGAAACATTATGATTTTGACTTTTGATTGCGTGCGCATTTATAATGTGAATTTTAGTTTATTTTAATTTATAATATATTAGTAAATGGTTTATTAGATCACACATATAATATTGACTCTTAATTGCCTTTTTATTTCATTGTCAATTTTTTAAAATATTATTACATATATATGTCTATATGTACAAAAATATACTTCTTATTCCTATAAAAAATATTAAAATGTTAGAAATAAATAGAATATAGGTATTCATTTTTAAACTAAAATAATATTTTATTTTTATAATCGTATATACATAATAAGAAATAAAGATAATATTCATTATGCATACACGTACATTATCATGATCTTCTTTTCTTCTGTCTCCTTTAATCCGTATTTCAGCTATTCGATCCACCTCAATATAAACCAAAAAAAGAGAAGAAAATAGAAAATCCATTTTTATTGGATAGTTCTTTCATTGATTTGTATCTCAGCTACTCGATCCACCTCGACATAAATCAGAGAAAGAAAAACCTAATAAAAATATGAGAAAAAATTTTATATATAAAATATAACTTTCACACAAATGCATAAAATATAAGTAATAAAATAATATTAAACGCAGTATTCCATTGTCCAAAAGTTTGAGGCTCCCAATTATTCATCCTTGAAACTTATTAAAATAAAAGAATTAATTAATTAAAAATCTTCATAATACATATTTATACATGCAAGTACACACATAAAATAACACACATATACGCGCAACATACAATTAGATATATTAATATTACACATCAATTATTGTACACATCACTTATCAAATAAATAACACAAAGGCTCAATTAATGTGCATAGAAGCTAATGACGCAATTGAGAAAATTATATGTAAGGCTCGTTATTTAAGAATAAAATATTACACAAGAAAGACCTGTTAAATTACAAAATAATTAACTCATTATTGAATTATATAATAAAATATTAAAGTAAACAAAAATGTAAAATGAGCATACAAGATTAAAAAAGAATAACAGCAATGAAAAGCACACATAATTGAAATATAAAATAAATGGAACCAAAAATATTAATAAAAATTAATAAAATCGTAATTATAATAATTCAAATATTCATATAGGTACCAGGTGGGGCTATAACTTTGTCCACCTTGAATATCTCCGCTCTCAATCTAAAAATTTAAAGATATAAAAATATTGTTATTACAAAAGTTGTAGGGCATGAAGAGAACTATAACATATGCTAGTCATAATTTTTTTAGGTGGAGGCGCTTCAGAGATTTCAAGGTCAACTTCCATTTTTTAAATGGATTTATATGAATTTTTTACACTATATGATTCCTCTAATTATTCTGTACATAAAAGTATTAAAGTAGAGATATAAAAAAATCAATAGTTTACGAGATATTTTACACATTCTTTTGATGCATATTGACATAAAATGTTTAGTAACTCGTTAACTATTGACTTTTTGATAATCGTACCTTAATGCTTTTGTAAACAGTATAATGAGATGAATCAATTGGTGTGAAGGAAACACATAGTTGCTTATTTCTAAATTATCCATTTTGCATACATATTTTTTTATAGCAACTATGCGTTTTCTTCACACCAATTGATTCATCTCATTATACTGTTTACAAAAGCATTACGATTATCAAAAAGTCAATAGTTAATGAGTTACTAAACATTTTATGTCAATATGCACCAAAAGAATGTGTAAAATATCTCGTAAACTATTGGTTTTTTTTATATCTCTACCTTAATACTTTTATGTACAGAATAATTAGAGGAATCATATAGTGAAAAAAAATTCATATAATTCCATTTAAAAAAATGAAGTTGACCTTGAAATCTCCGAAGCGCCTCCATCTAAAAAAATTATGACTAACATATGTTAGAGTTCTCTTGATGCCCTACAACTTTTGTAATAACAATATTTTCATATCTCTAAAAATAGCGGAGATATTCAAGGTGGACAAAGTTATTACCCCACCCGGTAACAAGATATAATATAAAGATTATAAAAATATAAGACTGTATGCATAAAAAAAGGAATAAAATGAAATTAAAAAGGGAAATTTATAAATGCAAAATATTTAACATTTTCCTATTCTTTTTTAAAATTTTTTTACATGATTTATTATGTTGTTTTATTGTATAATATATACGCATACGAAGAAACAATTTTATTAAATAAGAAGTTGGGAAATTTGGACATGGTGGTTCAAAAGTTATATTTTGTGCCAACTGTAATAAGTAATTACCAATATTTTTCTGAAAGCAATTTTTTTCAAAATTTTTTACAAATATTTCTTCTAATTTTTGAATATAATTATAAAAGTCATTACTAGGTATATGAAAATTTCTAAACAAATTTCCTTCTTCGTTTTCACAAGCTCGAAAAGAACAATATAATGTAGTTTCACCTAATACAGCCTCATTTTCATTTACATATTTTGTACATATATCACATGTATGTATTGCTGTACACTTTTTAATTAAATAGCCGCATACATACTTAAGCGCATTTTCTTCTGGCAGAGTCATTATTTGGTAATCATGAGTTGGAATTTTTAAAACTTTAAGCGTTAATGATGGAACAAATTCCGAAGTTGTGGACTCTTTAATACTAGACGGTCCAATAAGATTTAGTATTTCATCATTATCAGGAGCACAATTTTGATTTTTCGATTGTTCTAAAAATTTCGTACTGAATAATTTTTTAAAAGCACGTGTAAATTGTATAGGTGTCGGATTAAAGCAATTATCACCTTGTTTCCGAACAGAGTCAAAGAAATTTTCGATGCAATCTTGATTTAATCTACGTGTTTTGAGATACTGAAAATGATAATTTTTTAATATTGTCCACAGCTGAATAATACTATTGATTGTTATTTGCCAGCAATCAAAGCATTTAACTTTTACATATTTATTATTACTATTTTTGTCTACAACTTTAATACATTTTATAAAATATAACATTTCTTCCAAGAACTGCATTTGTTTGTCATTTCCGGTAAAAGCTTTTCCATATTCTTTATAATTATTTAAAGTTGATGAATTTAAAATATCAAATAATTTATCAAAATGATCTATTAAATCTATAGTTCCAACTGCTTCAGTTGGAAGAAAACCAGAAGACATTTGCGTACACATTCCTGCAGCTACACGATTACTAAATATTTGTATAGCATACTTTACTTTCATTTTTGAAAAATTATTTGGCTCTATATGATCCATTGATAATTGAGGAGCTGCTTTTATCCATTGTGTCCTGTCTCGTCGATAAAACTGTACAATGTGATCCCAAGAAGCTATTTTATTATTAATTTTAAAATTGTGTTTTAGTAAATTATTTCGAGTTGCTTTAATTAAGTGTGGAGTATCAAAAATGTAAACTACATTTTCTTCGTTAACTGAAAAGATAGAATTTTCTGTTGAGATTCCTAAATTACGAGATAGTTGTATAAAATTAGAACCCATATTTGTTATTAATGCATGCACCGAAGCACCACAACTTCTTAACTTAATTATAATATCAAATAAAATATTTTTTAATTCATTGCTATGACACGTAGTTTCTACAAAACAAAAGTAAACGGGCAGTTTCCATTCGCCTGCAATGCTACGTGCCATTATAACCAAAGCACTTTTTGCAGGTATAGATGATTTTTTATTACCAGTATCCTCGAATCCAATAATTTCATCTCTTGATATATTATAAAACAAGTGACTTTTTAAACTCATTTCATCTGCACATAATATACAATGACGTTCTATCAATGGTAATGAATTTAATTTTAATTTTAATACTTCAAAAATTTTATTATTTATACCCGGTAAGATATTCCATCTTTCTGCAAATAAATGTAAAGAACGTACAGAAGGCAATGCAATAGATTGTTGCAATTCTCGATAAGTTCGTGGACTTAAAAAATATATTGATAATGCAAATTTTTTTAATTCGAGGTCATATCTTCTACCACGTATATTTTTAAGCTGTGCGTTAACTTGTGCCATTAAAATTTTATTAAAATTTTCGGACAATAATTTATGGCCTAATTTTTTCAATTGCTCGAATTCATTCTCTTCTTTAAGTGTTACCTTCTTCTTCTTTTTTTCTAAACGAAGTCGTATTAGACGACTTCTAATACTTTCACGTAGCGTTTTATTTTGCGCCTGTAATCTTTTGATCTTCAAATGCAATTTTCTTTTCCTTGGGCTATTACCCGTCGATTTATCAATTACATTTTGACTCCTGGATGTACTTCTGTAATATGATACAAATTCAATAAACTCATACAGTTTTTTTTGGAATATGATAAACAATCTAATAAATTCTATATATACTAACAAGAAATAAATTTAAATAATATTAAAACATAAAGTTAAAAAATATAAATATAATAGATTAATTTTTGAATTACACATTCTAGTAATAAGTAAATGTTTCTAAGAAAATTTTATTATAAATAAAAATGTATGCTTTACTATACAAATAAATTATTAAATGAATATTTACGGTTCAATTTTTCCAGCCTCTATGTCATAGATAGTGATTGGCAGAATTACTTCTGAAGTGTTGGCATTACTGAGAGACAGAGAAAATATCATAAAAAATTATATATTTTTATTAAAAATGAAAATGTTCTCTATTAATATAAATTACCTAGTCTCTTCTTGCATTTGAATTACTTCAACATTAGTTGTCTCTGTACATGTATTTCTGCAATAAAAGAATATATATATCATAACTTTACAGAATATTGTTATATGAAAAAATATAAAACAGTTTTTAAATATACCTATTTGTTTTTTCTGTGAATTCATCTTCTTTTTCTGTTTTATTATAAACCATAGTTGAAAACATTTCTGAAAAAAGATTTTAATTATTTTCTGTATTTATAATTATCTATTTTAATAATATACAAATAAAAATAACAACTACACTACTCAACACAAAATTAAAGGATCACTTGTTCCACCCTGCAAAAATAGGCAAACTTTGAGATAGAATAACTTCGTCAAAAATCATCGTATCGAGATGTTTAAAAAAGCATTTTAAAGCTTGAAATCTCTACTTTTCAGACCTGTACTTCAAAAAACGGTCTTACTGATATTTCGTGAAGTTGCACCATTATAAATAAAAGTGTGTCAAACCTAAAAAATTTTTACAAAATTTACCAAGTTCCACAGAGCCAAGTAAAAATTATGTATAAATGCGGTTTACAGCTTTCGAAAAAGTAAATCTTTACCTTCAATGTGTTTTTTTGCTGAGCTCTGTACGATTTTTTTTCACCGAGTTATTTAACGTTTAAGTAAAAATGGCCTTTTTATTTCAACGTTGAATAACTCGGTGAAAAAAAATCGTACAGAGCTCAACAAAAAAGCAAATTGAAGGTGAAGATTCACTCTTTCAAAAGCTGTAAACCGCATTTGTGCACAATTTTTACTTGACTCCGTAGAACTTCTCAAATTTCGTATAAAATTTTCAAGTTTGACGCACTTTTATTTATGTTTATGTAACTTTACGAAATATCAGTAAGACCGTTTTTTGAAGTACAGGTCTGAAAAGTAGAGATTTCAAGCTTTAAAATGCTTTTTTAAACATTTCGATACGATGGTTTTTGACGAAGTAATTGTATCTTGAAATTTGCCTGCTGTTTCTCAACAAAATTAGAGTCATTTAATATAAGGAAAAAGGATCATGTTTGCTTCAACGTTGAATAACTCGGTGAAAAAAAATCGTACAGAGCTCAGCAAAAAAATAAATTAAAGGTAAAGATTTACTCTTTCGAAAGCTGTAAACCGCATTTGTGCACAATTTTTACTTGGCTCCGTGGAACTTGGCAAATTTTGTAAAAAAATGTTTAGGTTTGACACTCTTTTATTTATGATTGTGCAACTTCACAAAATATCAGTAAGATCGTTTTTTGAAGTACAGGTCTGAAAAGTAGAGATTTCAAGCTTTAAAATGCTTTTTTAAACATTTCGATACGATGGTTTTTGACGAAGTTATTCTATCTCAAAGTTTGCCTATTTTTGCAGAGTGGAACAAGTGATTCTTTAATTTTGTTGAGTACTTAGTGTATTATCAGATATTATCATATATTATTTGATTAATTATACACATTATTATTAAAGTAACGATATTATTGTAAAATTATTATAATGTTTAGGGGAACCCGAGGTATAATGGTTATAGTTAAGTTTTTTCAAATTTTAAATATATTACAAATAAATAAATCAACTTTTTTATATATTAAAATATTCTTTGGAGTCTTTACTATAAGAAAAACCTAAGTTTTACTGCAAAAGTATAAGTTAACAGGACGAAATTATTGTTTTGTGAGAGTGTCATAAATCTCACTGTCATTTATGCGGGGTATAATGGGATACCACATAAAACTTGTCTACTTTTAAAAAATTAATATTGAATATTGCTTAAAGTGACTTAGAATTATTAAGTATAATGTTACTAGATAACACTTCTGCACGTGTGCACTTCGTAATTCGTACAAAATTCTTGATAGTTACAAATACGCAACACGTAAAGGCTGGCGCCTAACCTCAATTCATGTATCACGGCGAATAGGGCCGCGGCGGCAGCCACTGTGCAAGTGTGCACTAGAGTCCCTAGAAGTAAGAGTGCATCAATCGTGTACTGTTTTTGATTGGCTGGATGAATAATGGCGGAACCAATCAGTGATGACTGAATATGTGGAAGGAAACCTGCACACACTTGCGCGACGTAAAATGAATTCTTTCACTGAGAACAGGATTATGAATATAATTAGAAGTTAAGAATTATTAATAAATTATTGGATAGATTATTAAGGAATACACACTACACACACACACACACACACACACACACACACACACACACACACACACACACACACACACACACACACACACACACATACACACACAACACACATACACATGAAAAATATATAATAAAAATACAATATGTTTATACATGAAACAAGAAATGAAATAAAAATAAGACACACAAAGTACAATATTTTATTAAAATAATAGATATATTAATTATTAAAATTTTCATAAACATTTTCATAAACAAAGCAACAGTCAGTTATTTTCTAAAAAATAACGCTTTTTTTTTATGGAATTGAGGTTATAACACTAGCTTTATTCTTATACATCCTCATTTTTTATTACTTTGTAAAATTTTAACAATTTAATTCTTAATTACATATACTTCCTTATTCGCTAATATTTGGAATTTATTAATACTAATTAAAACGTTGACACTTATAAATATACCTACCGTTATTATATTCTTGTACGTATGTTTAGTCCGTGTACTACGTATGCATGCGGCATGTGCTATATGCAGTAAAAGTACGCCATTTTTAATCCAACTAGAAGATTGACGCAACTCTTACTTCTAGGGACTCTAGTGTGCACCATTGTGCCCCATGTATTAATGCGCCTATGGTGTAAAGACCTCTGGGCAGCGATCATGTAACTTTTCCCCTAGAGCGGAAAGGCGAAAAGTGAAAGATTTCACGTGAACTTATGATCATAGAACTCGGCGAAACGTTGAAACGTGAAACTTTTCACGTGAATTTTTCCGCCATCAAATGTGATAGCGGGAAGGTGAAAGTTTAGTGACTCGAAGTAACTAGAACATTGAGATGCAAGAAACGTTTCTAGTTTCTAAAGTTATCATCCAAGGAGAACAAAACAATCAAAATAATATCAATATGACGTCAAATTGACATTATTTTGATTGTCTTTAAAACAATTCTTTAAAACAATCTTTTTTTTTTATTAATGATATTTCTAAGATTATATAGATTTTTATAAGTATAAATGGTAAACATTTACATTTCACTATTATCACGTTATTCATCATAATATATACATTTCCTTTTGTTTACTTGTAACATTCATTGTTATTGCTTTATTTGTTTATTTGTTTTATTTACTATCTATCAGTGATTTACAAGGTAAATAAGGTTATCTCTCATTTTTGGTAATTTCACTTTCCGCTCATTAGTTATATAATCGCACTATATTCGTGGAAAAGTTCGCGTGAAATCACTAAGTGAAAAGTGAAAAGTGAAAAGTTCCACTGGAAATTACATGATCGCTGCCCTGTACACGATCAGAGGGTCAATCACGTAACTTTTTCTATAGGGCGAAAACGTGAAAAGTGAAAACTTTTATGAATGTATATATGAACATATACACACATACATGCAAAAAATTTTCACTTTTCACGTTTCCGCCCTAGGGGAAAAGGTACGTGATTGACCCCCTGTAAAGCCCATGACACATAGAAAAACGTAAGGCCATAAACGTAATGGGCCTTCTACAATAAGCCGTAAGTCACAAATCATAAGTCATAAGCTAGAAATGGACCAATCACAGTCGTCAATTTTTAGTTTCTTACTTCCGATTTATGACTTATGGCTTATTGTAGAAGGCCCATAATACTGATCAGAGTGCGATTACATGGAGCGCGGTACGCGGTAAAATGACTATAAGATAATTCACCTGAAAAGTTAACGTAAATTTCTTCCAAGTGGCCAATAAAGCGCATGGTAATTATTCTCCACGACGTCTGATAACGCTAAAAAATGTCTCAAGATAATCTTGCGAGAGTTTATATATATTATCAGAAAATTTATCTTTTTGGTTGCGAAAAGAGCTTTTGTAAAACTTATTACGTTTTTCATGCAAACAATCATACCAAGAAATCATATTTTCTTTTGAAATTGAAGAATTGGGCCTTTTTCATCATGTAACATTTCCAAATACGCACAATAACTTTGTACCTTGTTCTTTATTTCCTCTATGTTGTGAACAGTAAGCCCGGATCCTCATACGGGCAACAGCGCTTTGACACCGGACGCTGATTGCAGTATCATTAAAGACTGTTTGAGCAGATTAGCTCGTTCTTTACCAGACAATCCACTGATGAGAAAGTATGCAATTGAAATTTTAAAATGCATATTTATGCATGTTACTAAAAAAACGAGTGCATGTTTGGCTTCAGGCAATACGTCGTTTGGCTCTATATGATTCCAATATCCATCATACCTATATATTGATCATCATCTAATTCAACACACTTTCTTAAACTAATCTCGTCTGCAACAAGATAAAACAAACATTTGCCTTCAGACGAAGCTGTTTTTATTTTCTCCTTCAATGCGGTGATAGCTTCTTCAGTAAAGCCAGACGATCCAGTGATATGTTGATACCACCGTCTGATTGTTAATGGATGTGGTAAGGATTTCATAAAGGTTTTCCGAACGTAATCGTATGCTGCACTCGAATAGAAATATGTCATTACAAATGTTCTAAGGGAATCTGGATACGCACTCTTTGCTACTGTACCGAACTGACGCTGCCAAAGTGCTCTACATTGCTCAGGAACAGAAGCCTATATTATAACAATCACAGAAGCCAAAACCATTTTAGAAAGGAAAATGCGTAAATTATACGCACATAAAGATTATTAGTATTCTGTATACAAAATCGTATAATGCATTACAGTTTCAGTCGTAGTTTTTAAATAAGATTTTCAATAGCTGCAATTATAGGACAATTGCAAACTCAGCAAACGAAAATAATTTGAAATGGATAGAAATAAATTCATTTTAACATTTCCGAATTTGCTTGAATTACTTGAATAAAGTAAAAATTACTTAGGTATAGTTCTTTTTTTCAGTATATCAAGTATTCAATTACTTAATTCCTTACAGATATAATATTTTTAGCTTGATTGGATATTATCTGTTTTTTCTTTAATTCGACAATCAAGGATTGCATCTTCGTGATCTTCCTGTTCTGTCGTCGAATTTGTTGGTGCAATTTTAATATTTTACGTCTTTGATGGTTGACTGTGTTTGTGACTATTTGCCAAACGCGTTTTGCTTTATAAGGAGATTCCAAATCTTTTTCGGAGCAATCTCCAAAATATCGTATCCATTGACAGTTTTTGTGTGATGATTCTGAAAGTCCAGCATTCATTTGCGGATCTCTGAAATAATAGACATGTTTCTGACAATTAATAGGTACAATTTCAATGCACAACTCCGATAAAAAACTTTTCATACATGAATATATATAAATATATATAAACATATAATTTTGTATGAATTATGTCCATATTATATTATACATACTTTTTTTTTTTCAATTACCATTTGGTACAAGAAAAATAATACTTATATTTGTGAAAAAACAAGATATAATTGAAAGGATAATTTTCTTTGTAACTCTTTGTACAAGAAACAATGCGAAAATTTTATTATTTCAATTATTTTTTTATTTTCTTATGAATGTAAGTATTATTTTTCTTGTACCAAATAGTAATTTTCAAAAGAAAAAAGGATGTATGGACATACTTCGTACATACTTATATATGTTTGTATACATTTATATATATATTATCTATACATATTCATGTATGAAAAATTTTTTATGGGGACATCATGCATAGATATTTTTCATACCTTTCATTACAACTATCAACGTCAGAATAATTTTGGACGATTTCCATATGGGATTGATTATTTTCCATACTGTCATCAGTGTTTGAAATATTCGGCGTTTTATTTACATTGTCATTATTTATATTTTCACGTTTTATAATAATGTTTTGTTTTACATCTCTATCGTCAACAATGTTTGATGTCACTTTCGTTACAATTTGTATTTCCTCAATATTTTTGTTAATGTTTGATATTTTTTCTCTATAACACAATTATAAATAAACATACATTTTGTATGAATTATGTCCATATTATATTATCATACACTTTTTTTTTTTTAAATTACCATTTGGTACAAGAAAAATAATACTTATATTTATAAAAAAACAAGATATAATTGAAAGGATAATTTTCTTTGTGACTCTTTGTACAAGAAACAGTGCAAAAATTTTATTATTTCAATTATTTTTTATTTTCTTATGAATGATAAGTATTATTTTTCTTGTACCAAATAGTAATTTTCAAAAGAAAAAAGGTATGGACATATTTTGTACATATATATATTTGTATACATTTATATATATTATATATATTCATGTATGAAAAATTCTTCATGGGGACATCATGCATAGATATTTTTCATACCTTTCATTACAATTATCAACGTCAGAATCATTTTGGATGATTTCCATATGGGATTGATTATTTTCTATACTGTCATCAGTGTTTGAAATACTCGGCATTTTATTTACATTGTCATTATTTATATTTTCATGTTTTATAATAATGCTTTGTTTTACATCTCTATCGTCAACAGTGTTCGAGGTCACTTTCGTTACAATTTGTATTTCCTCAATATTTTTGTTAATGTTTGATATTTTTTCTCTATAACACAATTATAAATAATGCCAGCAGCTTGTTCAGTGACATATATAATCTTTTGAATAGCAATGTAATATAAATGTATACCTCAAATGATAAGAATCAAAAATTGTTGGTATTGCATCTGGCTTGATATATTTCTTCGTTTTTCCTCTCATGGAATAGAAAAAGCAATTATTTTCGAAATGCTGGCTACACAAAACATGTGATTTTCTTAGTTTATAATTCTCTTGTCCTATGGCTGCAATCCATAACTGACGTATTTGTTCATTCTTTGGAAATCTTTTAGGCAACACGTGATAAAATTAGAACTATGATATATATATATACGTATATATATATATATATATATATTACTTTCGATAAAACCAATAATTACAAATATTATTTACTACTTACGAATAAACAGATATATTGTCCGTCGGATGTATTTTCTTATATTTACACGCAACACACATACGCATTTTCACTTTCCCTATTCAAAATGACTATTTTTAATTAAAAAAATTTTTTGATTGAAGGAAAATAAATGCTTTCTGCTGTATATAAAATAGGAACGAGACGTTCAGAAAAATTATTTGCTTTTCTTCTACATTTTCCGTTGTTTACTTGCATACCTGCATTCGCGTCTTAAGACATTACAGGCTGTTTTCCAGCTAGGACACAGAAACGTTACACTGTGCTCCACTGTGTAAAGACTTGTTGGAACGATAGAGCTCTAATTGGTAACATTGGCATACTCTACACGTTCGTACTTAGCTTTTTACAGTGTCGAGCAGTGTAACACTGTGTTACAGTTGGAACACTTTGTGTAAGACACAGTGTTACACTGTGTCATCTGTGTACGTTGTTGGAAAACACCCACAGATAGAGACCCTCTAACAGAGACTGGCCATCAGGGGGCCACTTTTGATTGGTCCGCCATTTCCTAACGATTCCCGCTCGTATTGAAATTTCAATTACTGCATTTACTTGGAATGTAAATAGTATGTAATGATAAATATTATAGAAATATTAAAATTGTGCTTTTTACATCAATATAAATAATATACGTTAAATAAAAAAAAAACATGTCAAGTATATCGTCAGTTATATACATCTTTATCTTTAAATAACTTTGTTATAATAGCTGTTTTTTGACATTTATGATTTAATTTTTGACTTTGTTATTAAATTTTAAACATTAACTTTTATATTGTCTTCGTTCTTTTTGTTTATACGTTAAATAATTTCTATATTTAATATTCTCTCTTTCTTAATTCTATTAAATCTTTTTCAAATAAAATTAAAGTAAGGTTAGGAAATCAGTGACAAAAGTACAAACACTTAACATTTGTAAAATTTATTTAAAAAAGGTGTGTAC